GAATCAGAATCACACAGAAACGATGGCGAGGGGAAGGCCGACGGAGTTCACACATCCTCAGACACAGGGAGGAGGAACTGGGGGGCTCTGGGGGGTCTAAGTCCACCGGAGGTTAGTGTGGGGTCCATTCACCCAAAAGGGGGAAAAGGGGCGGGGCTTAACACTTTGGGCTGACGTACCATTGGTCACCGTGCTGTTACCGGCATCGGGAGAGGCGGGCAACTGAGGACTGTCCTCTGTTTTTGGGGGGATGTGTGAGGAGGGGAGGAAAGGTGGCAAAAAAAAAAAGAAAAAAAAAGGGGGGGGGGGGGGGGAAATAAAAAAAGAGAGTAAAAAAAACGGGAAGAATAAGGAAATAAAACAAACCGAGAGCCGGGCTCCTCTGTGAGGAAACCTACGGAGCCCCCTAGGGGACATGGGGAATTTTTTTTCTTTTGTGTTCCCTCGCTATACTTTTGCGTTACCTCGCAATATTTTTTGCGTTAAATTACGCAAAAGCAACCGTGACATAACCAGTTCGTAGCAGGTCCCGCCGCGAAAGTTTTGCTGGCTTTGATAATTCTCATGTTTCAGCATCATTCAACTGCCAAATAAAGAACGATTCTGTATTTTTAAAGATGGTGTCAGTCCTAGCCTTGCCATAAATCCCCGTACGTTCTATATATAACAGTGACACCGCCAAACTAGTGGCGTAGCGAAATGAAGTCAACTTTAGCCCGATTAAGTTGCATAGTCTAGTTATTGTCATTTAAAAAATGGTCGCCAACAAAATAATTTAGTTATCATCGTTAACGAAATGAACCTTGCATCCCCCGCCTCGTCACTCTTTCTTTAAGCAAGCGAACGGATGTCTGAGCTACCTTTCCTTCCAACGGACACATATTTGACATACTTATCATAAATGAAGCTAAAGATTTATACATATTACCAAGCATACAGTATTTACGGTGAATTAAGATTATTTACTTTTGCGAGGTAACGCAAAAGAAAAAAAATTCCCCATGTCCCCTAGGGGGCTCCGTGAGGAAACCGACACAAACCGAGCCCCAAAAAGAAAAGAGCAAACA